GAGACAGACAGACAGACAGACAGACAGAGGAGGAGGGGGCGGGGGTTACAAAAACGGTTTTAATTAAATTTTTTCTAAATTATTTTCAATTATACTTGTTGTTTGGTTGGTTGATTTTAGTGCTGAATCTGCTTTTATATTCTTCTTTGAAAAAAAAAGAGAATACGTGCCAGTATATGATTTTTTTTTAAAATTTAAAAAAAGCATTGAAAAATTCGGCGTTTGTGTAGGCAAACCGGGCTTAAAATATTATATTAAAGTTCAAGATGGTAACGGAGTTTTATTTCATCATTGCGTGTGAGGGCTGGAAAGAGGGGGAGGGGGGGCGTTATAGGTAAACTTTTCCCTAACATCTGTACTTTAGGGCTTTTTTCTTTTGATATTCTCAGTGTGGGAAATATAATAAGGATAATGATATTTATGCTGAAAGGGTCGATTTGCATGTAATGAGATATTGATTTTAGAAAAATAAAATCTCATAAATCACATAAGAATGCCTGACTGACAGTTTCAGAGCTAACCTTACAATGGCGTATGTTGATTTTGGTGGGGTTTTCAATAATTCTTAAACATTGTCAAACAATATCAAAACATACTAGTAATAAATTATCTTTTAGGTGAGCACACGTACAAGAGTACAGAGAGGAAGGGAGTGAGTGGGAAAGAGAGGTAGAGAGAGAGAGAGAGAGAGAGAGAGAGAGAGAGAGAGAGAGAGAGAGGGGGAGGGAGAGAGATTCTAACAAGTACTAAATAAATAAGGAAAACTAACGCATCGCTGTATACACAACATGTTTCTAATAAGTTAAAAAGTTGCATTTTTAAACTTTAGAAAACTGAAATTTTCAACCACAAAACGTGAATTATTGTTCTTTATTCTACTCTTATTTTGTAGTTTTCTTTTATATTTGATTTTTTAAAAACAAATTCTTCCAGTTTTGTACCAACTTAACTCTTTATTTCTTTTGCACACATTTTTTTTCACCATTTTCTACACCATTTTTTATACATGGCAATTCGTTGAAAAAACTTGGAAGAAAAAGAGTTAAACTGTGAAATAAGAGTTAACATCTAGTAAATGAAGCCTCTAGTCTCCCGTCCAAACCCGACCTAAAGTCACCGAAGTAGCACTTAACATACACTCCCAACCTAGCCAGGCCCAACATTGGATAAGGCCACAGTTTCTATTAAACCTCCATCCCCGAGTCCTCACTCAAATTACTTATTATCGACTAGTTTCTCCGGCCGCTCAGCGCACACGAGAAGCTGTATCAAATTAATGTATTCCCCTCCTGCATTAGCCAAACCCAAACCGGTGGCGAAATGAAAGGAAGCAAATATTACATTAAAAACCAACAACTTTAAAAGTCAATTCAGAGGTTAATTAAAAATTGACTTTTTATTTAACAAAATAAAAAAAAAGAAAACCAAGACAAGTATAATCCACAGTAGCTGTCAAAGAGATTTAAATCTTATACATGTGGTTAAGGGATTATATGATTACGATTGATTGTAATAATATTGTTTTTTTAAAAGAAATCGGAGCTCTGAAAGAGAAGGGAAAAGTTTGAAGTTGCCTCTTTTGGATACTTTCTTTGATTTAATTTTGTTTGTCTGTTGTTATTGTTGCTGTCTTTTTTTTTTAAACCAACATAAATCTTAATTTACAACCAGGCATTTGATGATTATCTCTGATCTCGGGAGCTGTCGCAAAATCTCGACTTGTGTGTTCCGAGACGTGAAATGTAAGCTGTTACGGTGTAAATCTTGCCACTCCATCACCCACCACTGTACTTGGAAAGGGCCAATTGCGAAAAAACCCCACAAAAACCCCCCACAACAACAACAACAAAAAAACCTCCACCAACAACAACAAATATGAAGATGTTCACGGTGTCGTAGTGACATATAAAGTGTATCATGGAAGCCCAGAGTTCAAATTCGGGTAAGATCAGAAATGTTGGGTTCATGGGTTTTTTCTGGAGATAATATTCCCCTGACGTAAGGACAGTTATCATTCTATTTGAAAGTTACCCACATTAGGTTAACTAGGGCGTAAAGCTTCCTATTAAAATAGAAAAACCCAATCAAACTTGAAGAACAATAGCCTATCCCCGGGCCCTGCCTTGTCGCTTGCATTGTGCGCGTGTTTTTTTGTCCCCCCCACTCCCCGTGCACTCACACACTGGCATGCCACAGATGGCAACTCACGCACTGGGTGGGACACGAGTCGGCTTATTTATTTTATATTTTCACATACAACCGTTTTCTTTGTTGCCTGTCTGGTATTTCACTTTTCTTTGTTTCATTCGTTACATTTTTTTTGTCGGCTTCATTTTTTATTGTTATTGTTATTCTTATTTTTGCCTTGGTCTATTCTCTGGCGTATGTTTGGAGGATTGGTCTCTCTG